GTGGGGGGGTGGGGGTGTTTTCCTGCTGTTTTCCAGCTCCTTCCTTCCCCTGATTACCACCTGCCAGGCGGCGGGTGACAGGGGGACACGGGGGGGTCCCCCTCTTCCTGCCCTTGCCTGGGAAAACCGTCCCCCATGGGCAAGCATCCCGGCAGCACCGGTGTGGGAACCCGTCTCCGTGTGCCCCGGCGCTGGCCGAGGGCAGGAGCCCCGGGGCGGGGGAAAGCTCTGGGGGTGCCCTCTCTGCTCAGGGGTGCCACAGGGTGCCAAGAGTCCCCTGGGGGGGGCCCAATGGCCCCAGGGGTGTGTGCCCCTCGGCCCGTGCCCACCGTGCCTCCCAGGGATGGGGCTGGAGGGGGTTTGGGGCCAGGGAGGCTGTGCCCGCTGCTCCTGTCCCTGCGCCTGCATTCGAGGGGGTCCCAGGGGTGCCCACGTCCCCGGGTGCCCCATCCCCCCCCGGGGGTCCCATCCTCCCTCCAGCCTCCACCAGCAGCTGACGGGGCCGTGGGAACCTTCCCGCTGGGCGCCTGTGTCCCCCTCCTGCCCCTCTGTCCCTCCCCAGCCCCGCTGCAGCCCTCGGGGAGGGGGCCGGGGGGGCCGAGATGAGGGGCTGGGGCACGATGCAAAGGCAGGGTGCTGGACCGGGATGTTGGGGTAAGGTGCCAGGGTTGGATGCTCAGACGAGATGCCAGGCCAGGCTGCCGAGATGGGATGGGGGCAGGATGGGGCACTGGGATGGGGGCACGATGGGACGCTGGGATGGGGCAGGATGGGATGGGGCAGGATGGGACACTGGGATAGGGCAGGATGGGATGCTGGGATGGGGCAGGATGGGATGGGGCAGGATGGGACACTGGGATAGGGCAGGATGGGACGCTGGGATGGGGCAGGATGGGATGGGGCAGGATGGGACACTGGGATAGGGCAGGATGGGACGCTGGGATGGGGCAGGATGGGATGGGGCAGGATGGGATGCTGAGATGGGTCAGGATGGGACGCTGAGATGGGGCAGGATGGGACACTGGGATGGGGGCAGGATGGGATGGGGGCAGGATGGGATGCTGGGATGGGTCAGGATGGGATACTGGGATGGGGCAGGATGGGATACTGGGATGGGACAGGGCGGCACGCTGGGATGCGCCAGCTCCATGCAGTGCCCAGGCCCTGCCGAAGGGCTGCCTGTGTGGGCCGGGCAGAGCCCAGGCGCATCGGCGAGTGGGCTGGGAGATGGGCTGCCCCGTGCCAGGCCAATGGAGGGAGATGGCACAGAGGGACACGGTGGCCTGGCACAGCACGGTGGCCTGGCACAGCATGGTGACCTGGCACGGCACGGTGGCCATGCGTGGCACCATGCCCTGGCGCGGTGCAGTGAGCTGGCGCGGTGCAGTGAGCTGGCACGGTGCAGTAGCCTGGCATGGTGGGGTGACCTGGCACAGCTCGGGGACTTAGCACGGTGTGGTGACTTGGCACGGCAGTCACCTGGCACTGTGCCACTGCACCGAGCTGGCACAGCGCGGTGATCTGCCATGGCAAAGTAAGCTGGCACAGCGTGATGGCCGGGCATGGTGCAGAGCAAATATGTGTGTGTGCGTGTGCGCACACGTGTGTGTGCAGGGTGAGCGTGCCCTTGTGCCCGTGTGTGGCCAGGCGGGGTGCCCGTGGCTGTGCGTGTCTTTGGCCATGCACTATGGGGTGGCCCACGGCTGGGGACGGGGACAGTGGGTCTCACCTCGGTGCGCAAAAGTGCACGGGGTGAGGGTCCCGGTGTGCGCCCAGGTGTGCGCAGGGGCACCCCACCCAGGGAGATCCCGGGGGGGAGGTCCTGGGGACCACATCTGGCCGTGCCCCCAGGCGTGGGTCCGTGCTCCCATGTGTGTGCACCACGATCCCCACGCGCGCTCCTCCCATCCCAGCCCCTAGTGTGAGTGCTGCCGCTGCCCATTAATTATTGAGGGGCCGAGGCTGATTATGGGGCCATGGACAAGCAGCCTGAATATTCCATCAGGCCGGGACATGGCGGGAACAGCTCGCCCTCCTGCCCGTCCATCTTCCACCGGGGATGCTGCCTGGCACCTGCCAGACCCCCGTGGGCAGGGAGAGGCAGCGCCCTGCACAGCCAGGGGGTCCCACGGGGCGTCCTGGGGTCCCTGCAGCCGTGCAGTGCATGTGTGTGCGTGCGCGGCAGCGTGCAAGCCTGGGTGTGCACGTGCACATGGTTGCGTGTTTTCGGCTGCGCACACCTCTGCACGGTGCGTGCACATGTGTGTGTCACGGGGGTTGCACGGGACGCCGTGCACGGCAGGGAGCACCCAGGCACGTCTCTGGTGTGACATGCATGGTGCTACCTCCATTTGGGGATACCAGGACAGGGGGGACACTCACCCCTGCTTTGCTCCAGCGCCAGGAACCAAAGGATGGGGTGGGGGGGAGACATCGTGGGGTATCTGGGACCCCCCTGGTTTGCCGGCACTGACCGCTAGGTTCTTCCCTTCCATCCCAGGTTTTTCCTCAAGTTTTTCCTCAAATGCAACCAAAACTGCCTGAAGAATGCGGGGAACCCCCGGGATATGCGGCGCTTCCAGGTGAGCACCGGGACTGCCCCCCCCCCAAACCCT